GATGCTGGGACCTGGCTGGCCAGGGGACAGCCCCTCTGAGTGCTCAGTCAACACGCACTGAATTGATGACGACTGTGGCAGCCTGGCAGATTCTGAGCCCAGGCTCACTGCAGACACCCCTGCAAACTGGTAACACCCGGAAAAAGCAACACCTTGATCGCTCCTACTTTAACATGCAATTTGGCAGAGTGATTAGGAAGACAAGAATCCAGCCCCGGAAGCTGCAGGCATCAGGCAGGCAAGATGTCGGAGCAGGGCTGTTGCACGCACGTCCACACGCCCTCACTACAAGAACCCACTGACTCTCTGCACACGGAGCCCCTCACAGTGCCACCAAGCCCTCGCCATAGGGGCCTCACGACAGGCATGGGGCCTGGGCCCTCCGTCCTCCCTGGCCAGGTGCCTTTCCTCAAAGCCCATTCCCCCCACTCAGCCCAGCCCAGGACAGGCCCTGGGCACAGGTCTGCCCGACTACATTCTCACTCTGCACCTTGCTCCTCAGCAGGGCGGGCTGGGCTGCAGGGAGGGCCCAGCCTGGGAGGCAGTGTGTCCGCTAATGTCGGCAATGGGCCAGTTCTGCACAACCACACTCGCTCAGCTTCCCTCTATGAAAAGCTGGACCCGGGCCCCTCAGAGAACAGGATGAGAACAGCCACAGGCAGGCCAGGTGGCAGCCACCCCACAGCTGGCTGGGAAGGGCCCACGGCCTCTGTCCCATCACCGTTTGCTGTCTTTGGAAATCTGAAAAGCGTGACTTCTGGAAAGGCCAGCAAGATGCCTACTCCCAGCACATGATGACCTGCAGGGCTCAAAGCAACTCACGGGGAAGGATCAGGACTGATCCTGGGCTGTTATGACAGCCCAGGGGGTGCGCTCTGTGGTAGCCAACCACCGGAGAGCCAGCCAGGATGAGGGGAGCCTCCGGAGGCAGCAGGGAGGGGAGGTGGTATGCTGGTCTCTGCTTGTGGGTGCACTCGTGTGTGTGTTTGTGTGTGTGTGTGTGTGTGCACGCACGTGTGTGCGCATGTGCAGCTTGGTGCAACCTTACCTATGGCCCATAGGACAGTATCAAAGGTGCCCACGTCCTTCTTGCCAGAGGCGAGGTCCTCCCAGGTGACCTGGAGCTGGCCGTCCGGGAGCCTCCCCACCCTCGAGGGGGTGCAGCCCCTCAGGAACCGAGTGCCATGAGATGCCATATACTCAGTGACCAGGGAAGACATTTGCTGCAAAACACAAGAGGACATGCTGTGAGGACCAGGTGGCAGTGAGAATGTCACTACTGATGACTGGCAAGAGAGCACCGGGCCCCCTGCCTGCCTGAAAAAGCCCTGGGGGGGGGGGGGGCGCCCAGATGGGTCTGTCCAAAGGAGAAGGTTCAGTGCCTGTACCCCTTCTGCTACACGGCCTCGTGCCAGCCACCCCGTCTCTGAATCCGCTTGCTATCTGTGGAGCTGAAGGCTGAGCTGGGAGAGAATCTGGTGCCCCCTCCTCCCATTGCCCAGCTCGAAATCCAAGGACCCTAGGCCCTTCAGTTAGGATGCACTTGACCTTTTGGTGCTTCTCTAGGTGTTAATTAACTAAGTCTTCACTGAAAGCAATGACAAGGGAAGCATTTCCTTCTCCCGGGATCTCTGCCCTGCCTGAACTAGATGGTGCTCGGCTGTCCCCAACCCCTGACCCCTGTTGAGTGCGGTCAGCAACTCTGCCATGGAGGTGCTGGACATTAGGTGGGCACCTCTGCTCCCCAGCAAGAAACGCAGGGGTAGCGGTTGCAGCATGGTTGGGGGGGGGGGGGCGTCTGCAGAGAGGGGCCCAGCTCCTGGGGCCACTGTGGGGGTTTGCATAGGCCAGAGGTGCAGCCAGCCAGTCTCTTCTTTCAGGAGAAAATCAAAGTCACTGTTTAAATCCTCAGCTGAACCAGCTCATTTAGGGACCATTACACCATGAGGAGCCCTGCCTGTCTGGAATTGTCACCCTGGTCACAGGAACAGATGGCTAGGCCACCTGTCCCTCCTGGATCCCTCTGATGAGCCTAGACGTCCCTGTCACAGTCTGAGGGGGATCTGCTGGGCCCTCACGAGGCAGAAGGCTGGTCCATCACCCCTTGGCCTGACACTGGGGCTGCACGTTCTCGGTCACCTGGCCTTGCCACGGCACCTGTCCCAGGGCACATGTGGAGCCTGTCCCCTCTCCTCTCCTGACTTTTGCCTAGGCGACCCCACCATCTCCATGTGCCAATGACATGCAGCCTCTACTCAGCACTAGACTCACCTGTCAGGCGCTCCTCCTGCTCATGTGGGCTTCACTATCCCACCCACCAGCCTCGCCCTGCAGCCCAGCCTCTCACGCTCCAGCCCCTCGGCAGTTCCAGAGGCACCCTCCTCCTGGCCCTCCACGGCCCCTTGCTGGGAACTGCACCCCTTCCATGGGTCTCCAGCTTCGGCCCTGGCTCAGGGCCAAGGCACATCTTCCCAACAGCCCTGGTCGCTGCGGGCCCTCTGCCTCTCGGGCCTCGCCTCTGTGTCCGGCCATGCAGCCTCCTCAGGGTCCTGTCTGTTGCCTGGCATACTCTCCCCTCAGCCGGAGGCTCAGAGGCCTTCCCTGGATGCTGTGTCCCCGGGCAGGCACTCACTGCCTGTGTGCTGAGTGAAGCAACGGGCGAGAGACAGCTGCGGGGACAGCGGCCCAGGCCTGTAGGACGGAGCAGGCCTCCACCCTGGCCCGATGGGGCGGAACCTGAAGCCCACATGCCTGGGCCCAGGGACAGCCCGTGGCCAAGGGGCTGTATGTGTGGACTGTGGTGCCTTTTCCTTCATGGGGGCGCGGGGGGCCTGACATCTTGACGATGTCCCCAGACTTGGATTTTGACAGGGGACTTTTGAGAGGTGGGGAGAGTTTTCAGTTAAAAAAACCTCCACGTGCTCCGCACGCGGACAGCCTGCCCCGCGCTGGCCCGCGTGTGAGCCAGAACACGGGAGCAGGAGGCCGCCAGGAGAACCAGGTGCTCACTGGCTCTCCATCACGTCTTTTCAGTCGATGGCGGGTCTGTCACCTGCCAAGCCGTCGCCAGGCCTCACCCATCCGCCCTTGGCGAGGAGGCGCCCTCAGTCTCCAGAGGGGCAGTGCCGGGACGGCAGTGCTTCTGCCCCACGCGCCTGCCGCTCCCCGACGGGGCGACGGGAGGGCGCCAGGCCGCGGGCACCCCAGGGCTGGCCCCTGCTGCCACACGCCCGCGGGCATTTTATCTTTCACAATCTCCTCGTTGAACTCCAGGGCCGGTTTCTACAGACCAGACCTCCCTCGCAGCCCACCCCTGCGCCTGCCCGGCCGGGGCAGCCCCTCGGGGCACAGAGCCACAGGGCAGGCGATCAGCCCATGACACACTACCTGGTCGAAGCCCCGGAGGGGGATGCTGCGCACCATGACGGTGGCGTCCAGTCCCAGCCCGGTGAGGAAGCCAGCACACTCCAGGGCCACATCTGCCAGGGGCGGGCTAAGGAACGCTGACGGCGTCTGACCTGGGGAGCCCTGTGCCCGCGGGCCCCCCCCGCCGGCTCAGAGACCCTCCACACGCCACCCTCAGAGCATCCCAGGTGAGCGGAGGCTGCAGCAGCCACAGCCCCGCGGCTCCCTCCAGAGTCACGAGCCAGGCGGCATCTGCCTCCTCGGGCACCTGTCCAGGCCCCCTGCAGGCCCTGTCAGCCTCCAGGCCAGGCCCACTGCCCAAGGGGTCCACATGGCGACGGAAAGGCAAAGCCTCCTCCATGAGAGACACGAGGCTGCCGTCAGCGCCGCCCCCTTCCCCCGCTGGCCCGCTCCTGCCCCGGGGAGCTCCCCGGCTCCTCGCCAGACCCTCCCTGAGCGGAGGATGTGCCTGGAGGGGCTGCCCCCAGGGAGGGCCGCCTGCCTCATGTGGCTCAGGGAAGCCTCCAGGAAGCTCTGGCCACAGGCATTGGCCTCACGCCATCCGAGCGCCCCGTGAGGGCCCGGCCCCGGGCGGCAGGGCGTCCCCGACGGAGACAAGAGCAGGGCAGGGCTCTGGGACCAAACTTCCACTCAGGGCTAAAAGCACAGCCATCTGTCACCTAGCATACGAGCAAAGGATACAGCTGGCCCCGACCACCAACCTGTTGGAGGAACGGACAAGAGAAAGGACACAGGTGAGGCCCTCATGTGGCCCAGCACAATGCACGAGCAGCTGTCCCCAGTGCGGCTCTGCGGCAGGGAAGGCCTGCAGCCTTCGCAAGGTGCTCGGTCAGCTGATGCATCACTTTGGATGAGCCAGCTGAGGCGAACTGTTCAAACAGGTTGTCCCAAGGCACAAAACCTACTTCCCAGGGGCTCCAGCTGTGAAACATGACATGACAAACACTGTCACGGAATCAGGAAATGGCCCAGTGGTGAAAGATGTGAGTGGTCAGTGACACAACAGCACATGTCACGTGAAAGGCCCTAGCAGCAGGACCCACACGGATCCCACAGAGGTGTTGAGAAAAGCCTGGTGAGAAGCAGCAGAAGGGTTTCTCTTCTGTCCTGAGGTAAGCTCTGCCACAGGGCCCCTCTGGACCTCTCACGGCCAGGGTGGACACAGAGATGCTGTGCAGGAGGCGGAGGCACCGGACAGCGGGGGGCTTCTGGGAAAGCATCATCTGTAGGCAGGACACTCTGGGGCCAGCAGGCCAGGCCAGGCTCGAAGGCCCACACCCACCAAACACAGACCCAGAGCCAGGAGAGCCAGCTCCCCTGAGAAGGGTGCAGGCACCTGAGGGGAGAGGGGACACAGGACAGTGGGACACAGCAGAGTCATTTAAAATATTTGCCCTTGGAGGCCAGCCCCGTGGCCAAGTGGTTAAGTTCACCTGCTCCACTTCGGCAGGCCAGGGTTCGCTGGTTTGGATCCTGAGTGCGGACATGGCACGCTCATCAGGCCATACTGAGGCGGCGTCCCACGTGCCCATCTAGAAGGACCCACAACTAAAATATACAACTGTGTACTGGGCGGGGGTTTGGGGAGAAAAAGCAGGAAAAAAAAAAGAGGAAGACTGGCAACAGTTGTTAGCTCAGGTGCCAATCTTTAAAAAAAAAAATTGCCCTTGTAGTATCAATCCCCTCCTGTTATTCAGCTCCAGACACTTCATGCATGCGCACACACATGCACACAGATGCACACGCATGCACACACACACATGTGCACAGAACCTAACACAGAATGGAAACTCCAGCTCAGGCAGCGACGTGTGGGTGGGCTTGTCAGATCACCCCTCCAGCCTTTGAGCAGAGGAGGCGATGTCAGGATGGATAAGCGCAGTGTCAGCACTAATCCCGGCAGGTACTAGTGAGATAATCCATTCAGAAAGCGGCGCACCCCATGGAGCAGCCCTGCAGGTGCCCTGCGGGAAGCAGCTGGCACACGGCCTCCTCGCAGGAGCTGGGGACAGAGGCACCAGGTTTCACATCTGGACTGAGTGGACAAGCTCGGCTTGTGAGGAAGTTGAGGGGGATGCTGGGACCCACCCACCAGGAGCGCAGACATGCACTCGGGACTCCACATGGCTGGCAATGCCTAAGAACCAACACGTGGGTGCACACATGCATATATAACACAAACGTCTACGTGTAGGTACATTTTCAAAACTACGAAAGCTGACCTTTCTGGAACTGGATGCCCATGGTGAAAAGTATAAGCCTTTCTTTAAGATATGAAATTATGAGTTACTTAAAATACAAACAGTCTTCAGCCGCTTTGAATATCCTGCCCTAAATGTAAGAACGAGGTTGGGTAAAAGCATCAGTGCCCACACTCAGTGCCTCTGCTCCCTGCTTCTAGTAGTGGGGATGGCGGGGGTCGACTGCCTCGTGGGCAGACGTGCTGTGCAGGGGCCGGGTGGAGCCCCTCTGTCACCACATGGGCTACCCCTGCCTGTCTCAGAGCCTCCCTGTCTCTGTAGAGCAGACCCTCCTGCGCGAGTGGGCTGGGTACAGCCCGCAGCCTACAGGACAGCCCAGGCGCTCATACCACTGCCCTATCCAAGGCAGCAACATGGTCTCCTGATTTTGACAAAAACATTTTGTTTCTGCAGCCCACGGGTGCCTCCCCAACCTCCTGTACTACACGGACAGGGAGGTAGACAGAGAGGCAGGGCCGGCAGGCGCCAAATCCCCAGCTCCTCCCACGGAGCCCCCTCAGCACCCTGGGCCTCCCACTCCCACCTCAAAGTCATGGTGCCCCCACCCCTCAGGCCACCAGCTCTGAGTCACCGACAGAGGGCTCATCTGGGAGGAGGCAGGCGCCAGCCAGCCATTCCTCTGTGGGTGTCCTTGACCGAACGTGTGTGACTGGAACCTCACACACGAGCGGGCATCCCGCTTGTGCTGAGGGTAACTTTGGGCCTCTTCTTGTCTTCATGAGCAAAGATTACCAACACTCTGCGCTCCCCTCAATTTATCAAATAATGATTATTCTTTGAAGAATGCAGGATCCAAGAACCCAACCAGAGAACTCTCTTCAGATGGGCTAAAGCAAGATGCTGGAGCAAAAATGGAGACAGATACTACAGCCCCCAGATCCCGAGGGGTGGAGGGCACCAGAGACCAGGCCACCGTGTTGTTTTTACAGGTAGCCTTGAAACTACAGCTCAGCCTACCCTGGCCGCTGGAGACCCCTGGCCTGGATGACCATGGAAGACAGTGGTGCTGGCAGCCACAGAAATTAGGGACCAGCTTGTGGGGCCTGGGGGCAGGGCCCGAGTGAGCCCGAGGGCTGGATAACTCGCCTTATCAGTACGTCGAGAGACGGAGACAGGGGCACCGGCCCACGCTGGAAGTCACCACCTGCACCCTCACAGCCTGACTCACTTGTCTGTGTGTTCTGGGCAGCTCCACTCTCTGTGCTTGTTGGTGTGTGAACGTGTTATGCGAAGGTATAACTACGAGGGGCTTAGCCTGATCACACGGCAGGCTTTCTTGTTCAAAATCTGAAGGGGGAGGAAGCAGAAACAAAAGACTTACTTCAGGCTCATGAAGCCTCAGCTTAAAGAGCTCTCCACCTGCCTCTCGAGTTTGAAGGCCCCTGATCCACTCCCCAAGGGGACACCCACACAAAGTGAGGGCTCACAGCGGCAGTGGGCCCCTTGGCAGTCTCACCAGTGCAGGAAATGCCAAACGGGCTGCCAAGCCCAGGTGCCCCAGGGAGGCAGCACAGGGGGCGGGGGGCCCCAAGGCCTCCTCCCTGGTGGGGCTGGCTCTGAGCTTGCCTGGGACTGCCGGCTCCATCCCTCCCCGCTAGGGCCTGACGCTGGGCCCACCACCACCAGCCAGAGCCTCTATGTTCCGGCCCTGTAACAGATGCCACCCTGAGGCTCTGGCCCTGGGACTCATGCCACTTCGAGGAGGTGCATTCCTCAGCCTCTGCGCCCTATGCGTCTCAGCCACAGGGACACGCATGGGACGCTCAACGGCTTTAACCAGCTGGTAGCCAAGTCCCAGCAGATGGCTGGTCCCTCCTTTTCTGGACACGGGATATCACACCAAACGAATGTGGAGGTTAAACAGAAAATGCAAAAAGCCACAGTGAGTTTTCCTAAATAAATGGCTATGGTTCTTCGCGAGATAAAATTTACTTCTCCCTCTCACATTTAGAAAGAGAGAAAAATGATTACAGTGCTGGTTGGCTTCTGGACTTAACAATAAGGGTCAAATGAAAGCTCCTTCCACAGCCACCTCTGCAGGCCGCGTAGAGTCCGCCCGTCACAAGGCTGCCGCTGCCTCCCAGAGCCCTGGGCCCACGAGAGGAAGGGGCGGGCTGGGACACAGCCGAGGAGAGTGGGCAGGCCAGGCTGGCGCACAGGTGGGGCAGCGCGGGAGGGGTGGGGCAGTCCCTCGCTCTGCAGCCCTTCAAGGGCACCCGGGCTACCTGGGTGGGCAGCAGAACAACTGGGTCCTGGCTGTTATCTGGAAATGGCAACTCAGTCGCCTGTAGGTCCAACGTGGGGGAAGAGCCACCCCAGGTGGCTCCGGCCTCATTCACGTCCTTGTTGCTGTCAGAGAAAGGTGGCAACACCAAAATCTGCCCAAAGCCGCCAGCTCAGAGCCCCACTCTGCAGAGAGCTGGCCTCCAGGCACCGGGTAGGCCCAGGCACACATGCACCTGCCGCCAGGGAGTGAGGGCATCTGCAGGAGAGCGACCTCGGTTTCCCACTGTTAGGGCACCTGAAGAGTCACAGGAGGCGGGGACCAGAGGATCCTGGCCTGGGCAGGCTGGGCAGCCAGGCCCAAGCCCCCAGCAGGCGGCCTGGCTGCAGAAGCCTGGCAGGGAGGCGGCCCTCCAGGCGGGCAAGGAGATCAGCAGGCGTGGGATGGAGGCGGAGCCAGGTTGCGCGGGGTGCGCTTGGATCCAGACACCCAGGGCCTGCCTCCTCCTCAGTGAAGGAATCGGGGAGTAGGCCCACCCCGCTCCCTCCACCTGCCAGGGGGTGGCTGGGCTGAACAGCTGGGCTGCATGTCACCTCCAAGCCTTCCCCCCCCACCCTGCCCCGCCCCGAGCTGTGCACCCTCTCTGTGCTCCCATCTCTCCACTGGCGGGGGGCAGCTTCCAGGAGTGGCCGTTCCTCCCCTCAGCATTCCTTCCAAAGGGGCTCCTGCTACCTGCCCAGGGGCCCCTGTCCTTCCTCCAGAATCCTCCTCACTTCTTCAGCCTGTCCTGCATTTCCACAGAAAAGTGAAGAAACCAGAGGAGGGAAAAGGCAAACAGGTCGCAGACAAGGCCAGCCTCGGGGCGGCAAGGCTGCGTGCTGCTCAGGGTCTGCTCGCCCACTGGGGGGCGCATGCCTACACCGTGTCTGCTGGGGTTTTCTACACTGACCTCCAGGGCTTCCACACCAGGCCAACTGTGGGGTGAAGGTGGAGTTTCGGGCTGCCTTCCACCCCTGGGCTCGCGGGCCCTTGTGCCCTCTCAGCCCTGGGCTCCCCAGCCCTGGCGGGAGCAGAGGCAGCAGGGGCTCCTGCTGGCCTCTGAGGGGGATGCCTCTGTGGCCGCGGGCTCCACACAGCACGATGACTTGCAGGGGCAAAGGCGGCGTGGACGACCCCAGGAGGCCACAGGGCCGCAAGAACTTGGAGTTGTGATACACAAGCGGATTCTCCACGATTTCCCGATGGGCACGCTTATGTGGCACAATCTTATGAACAAAGGGACCCAGGTTTGCAATTTGGCTGGCGTTTAGGGTAGAGTATTTAGTGACAGAAGGGGCCAGGTATCCGAGTCCGCACACAGCCCCACCGTGGGCTCGACTCGCCAGGTCTGAAGTGACTGGGCCCTGTGCCCCACACAGACACGCCCTGCCCGAGCCCCCTTGTGGCGAGGAGGTGGTGCCCTGTGCATGCTGCAGAACCTGCAAGGGACTGGGGCCCGGCATGCCCATCAAAGCCTCCCTCAGGCCTTGGGGAGCTGGCCAGGGGAGATGGTGCCCACTGCAGGCGGAGGCCAGGCATGCTGGGCACCCTCGGCCACCGGCGGGCCTGATGGATGGGGCCAAGTAGAACGTCCCGCCCGGCCGCGGGAAGCACTCCGGGCCAGGGGGCAGCCCTGGGGTCCATATTAATTTCAGCTCCATTCTAAAGGCGAGTTAAAATAAACACAGGGAATATTTATAAGGCAAATAAATCTGGCAGAAACAGCCCCTCCAAGTGTGAGCGGAGGCCTCCCCCTCAGCCCCAGCCCAAGCTGATAAAATACAGAAATGCTACTGTAGACCCTCCGGGCTTATTTTGACTGCGGGGAGGAATGTAACATGTAAACACTGACTCCCGTATCGCACTGTTACAACTTGCATTAACAGCCGCGGACAAAAGCCGCATTTTCACAGAAGCATCGTACAGGGATATATCTCCAGCTTAATTTTTAAAAAAGCCATTTCCTCACATAAATCATGCTCAGAACGAAACGGGTGACTGATACATTGCAAACACTTTTTTTCTTAAACAATAACATACCTAGATTCCTTCTAAACGAGAGAGCTTTTTTAAAAAAAAATCTTCTAAATGTTTTTTTCTGAAGAAAATAAACACTGCAGTTTCTTTCCTGACCAAAATATCTGGGGCCGTGTCTTCCCGGCCAAGCGGCTGCGGCCCCGGCACCTGGTCTCAGAGGAGCGGCCGTGCCCAGGGCCTGCTCTCAGAGCGCCGCAGGACCCGCTGCGCCTGGGCTCCCTCCCTCCGCAGCCCGGAGCTGCGGCCCAGGCTGGCCTCTGTGCACACCCCGACTCCGACGAACAGCCGGCAGAAAGAGCAACACCAGAATCTGACCCCTTCCTGGAAGCTGGAGATGCTGCTTTTAAAATGTAATGGGAAAACAGCAAACAAACAAAACCCCAGGGAAACATACAAGAACTAATTTGACAAAAGACCAGGATTCAAAAAGTGCTGGCTTTCAGTGATGGGCCAAGATGCCTCACAGGAGAAGCTCCGTGCGTGGAGCTGGCCCCAGACAGCTGCACGTTTAAGGCTGTTTCAATCCGGGGCTCAGTAGACTACTACGGAGTGGCTGGCAGTGTGTCTACATTCCACTCAGAGAGATCAACGTGAAAGCAAACTAAGAAGATCTGAAGACTCTGCCAGGCACTTGCACCAGGGGCTCAGGAAAGCCAAGTCAAGGGCCAGAGCAGGACGACTCCCCCCGGGACAGAGCTGTCACATTGGCTCGAGAGGCCAGGCAGTCAGTGATGCTGGAACCCGGCAGCCTGGTCTCCACTGCGCCACACCACAGAGGAACTGCTAACACCCAAGGACGCAAAAGAAAGTCCGACCTGCGGAAGGCCTAAAGGAAAATACAGGGGCTTCTTTTCAAAAACAACCTTGGGGTTGGGGCAGGCCTTCCTGAACATGCAATAAATCTAAAAGCCATTAAGTGTAAAAAGAGATCTAAGTTATACACACACACAAAATTTGTCCATTGCACAAGTTAAAAGACGTGACAAGCTGAGAAAATCTGCAATACAAACGACACGGGGTCACAGCGTAATATGCACACCAGCTGGAAGGTAAGAAAAAGAGAAGAGAAGAAAAAGAAAAACCAGATAGAAAGCAGGCCAAAGACCAAGCTGACAGTTCACACACACACATCACACACTCACAGACAGACACACTCAATTTTAAATGGCCAATAAGCACACGAAAAGATGACTACTAATAGCAGACACAAACAAAACCAGGCCACGTTTAACCTACTGGGTAGTGAAAGATAAAAGAACAAATAACCCAAAAATTATGACACAAAGGGAAAAAGTGATGAATGTCACAACTTAAAAATTAAAAACTTCTGCATGAAAAACTATCGGCAAGTCAAGAGGTAAACCACAGCCTGGGGAACCGGCAGAAGGCAATGGACAGCGGGACACAAACCTGTGCGAGCTTGACCGCGGTAACTGGGAGGGACCCCGACGTGCCTCAGGCAGGAGCGCACAGCGATCAGTGCACAGTTCTATGCCCTAGGAGCAAGCGGATGCCCGAGGAGGCGGAGGCAGAGGCAGGCGGACAGTGCACAGTTAGGCCGGTGCAGCCCACCAGGAGGGGGCATGTTAGCAAAACACGTGGTGTGAAGGGCACCTACCCCTGGACCTGCGTTTTCTACGTGTGGAAATACCTCTGACAGGCATGTGTAATGCATAAGAGGCACTGTATATGTGTATGTATATAAGACGTACCCCAAAGGTTTTCAGTGCAGCATCTTATAACACCGAGAAAGAGAAACTGAGATGTTTGCAAATGGCGGAAAGATAAAATAAACCGCCACGTACATTCAAGGGAATCAAGCCCCAGCACCAAACAAAGACATGTTGTGAAGTAGGAAACAATGACGACAAGCAGAACACATGACACACACATGCACACAACACACACACTTCAGCATGCACACAGCACACATGCACACACTCCCCCACACCTATACTTGCACACACATGCCTGTCCACCTCCCGGCACACTGTCCCACACACAGTCTCTTGGAGGCAAGTCCCAAGGCAGCCAAGCGCTGCTGATGGCCAAGCCTCTGCTGCCCTCTGCTGGCCTTTCTGGTCCATGCGAGCACGAGGTCCCCTCCGTACCCAAAGGCAAGAGCTGTCTGGACCTGGAGCCACCCTAACAGCTGCTCTGTGGGTGCAGTATTGAACTTCGTGCATTTCCACCTGCTCGGGGACTGTAAAACCACTCACGCTGCCGGTCTCACCTCCACAACTGGGCTGTGCTCTGAGGGCCGTGGAGCCTTTGCTAGATTTCAGGGAAGCCCAAGGCGAAAACCAGAGGAAAGTGGGGATGTTTGACCGAGGCCAGAGGAGGGCCGGACCCTGCTCTCCCCTCCTTGAATGCCCTCCATCCCTGATGCCTCTGACAGGGCCAGCTGGAACCATGGAACTCCTGGGAACCCTGTTTGAAAACCACTGTTGTAGGCAATAAGTGGCTGATTCACTTTATGTGAGTCAAGTCACCACTTGCAAGACAGTCACAGGATACAGTGTGTCAACAGTCCTGCAAGGGGCACGGGTACTGGGCTTCCTTCCTGATTTCAGGTAGAGAGGGAAAAGGTCCAACACAGGGCTCCAAGGAGCCCTGACACCTACCACAGTGAACAGAAAGAGGGCCCCACGGAGGCACAGTTCAGGTCTTACGTTTTTCCAGGGGATTCTTTCAGCCAGAAGATGTCATCACTGGTAATTCCATATTCCAAAGCACCTTCGATCTATCCGAGAAAGAAGGACCAGTATGAGGAGAGCACCACTTGGCATGAGGAGGATGTCCATTTTGCAGACACAACTCAACCAGAGTCCCCCAGCTCACGTGTGGGTGCACTTCCCTGCTCTGCAGACTTTTCTTCAGGTTGTGGCCTCTGGGGACGGGTGATCTGTCTATATCTAAGTCAGTGCACCACCTGCCCAGCAGCGACACACCGGGCACTCCTTGGCTGTGACAGGCGGCCAGGGAGCTGGGGCACAGCCAGTGGGTCTTTCTTCTCTGCTCCCCAGGACTCTCCCCTTGATCCAGACCCAGGGCAGAGGGGAGGAGAGGAGAGGAGCAGAGTGAGGCAGGGTGTGGAGGGGCTGGCAGGCTCTAAGGGCACCAGGATGAAGGCTGGATGCCGCCAGGCACCCTCGGGGCCAGTCAGGTGGCCCTGTGCCCAGGCACTGAACAGACCACCCCGTATCCCCTCAGGGCCTGATGAGGGGCCGCTAAGCAGGTGGGGAGGCAGAGAGACAGGTGCCCTCGTAGTGGCCCGTGAATAAGATGTGCTGGTGGAGAGGAAACGGATTTCAAACAGTTTATGATTTCAATTGGCAAAAAAAATAAAGTCAGGAATTTCTCGGGTTTGCTCAAGGAAAACTGAAAGGTCTGAAAATCAAAGGGACTGGAACATAAGCAAGCCTTGTTGCGGGGTCGTCCTGGGCAGGCAGTGGAGGGGAGAGGGCATCTAAGCTGCCTCCTCCAGCACCCGGCAGCTCCTGCTTCATCCTGCTCTGGGCAAGTGGAGACACTGGCAGCTGCCCTGCCAAGGCCCAGCAGGACGGGGCCAGGCCAGTCCCCTCCACAGGGCCACCTGGCTCAAGCACATGTGCAGTTCGGACCGGTGCCTCAAAGGAGTCGAGATGACCGCCTGGCTCCCGGGAGATGACCGTGGCCTCGGGGGCTTTAAGCGGAACCAACATTGGCCTGGCTGCTGGGTGAGGGGTCACTGATGGTCACCTGCTCTGCCCGTCTGGTGTAGCTACCTTGAACAGCAGCACCCTGTCACCTACAGAGCTGTGCAGCCTGCCCAAGGGCCACCACTACGCACAAGCTGCCTGGCCCTCTCTGGAGGCTGCTTTTGCTGGCCTGAGGGCCAGAAGGGAGGTCTGGCGGCCCTCTGAGGCCTGGACGTACACATTTTCCTCGGTACCCTCTGTTCCCAGTTTCTAGAGAAAGCACAGAACTGAATGAAGGTTATTTAAGCATCTGAGAAGAAACAGAACCACTTCCCTTGCTCTGTCTGGATCTACACAAGAGGCAGGAGTGGCCTCCAGCCTGTGGGATCCGTCAGTCTGGTGCCCTTTGCTGCAGCCCATGTGGAGGCTCAGGGCTCGGGGAGCTCAGCTCCCCGGGCCCCTGGGAGACCTGTGAGGAGGTAGCCTTGGCCAAGCCCCTCTGTTCTCCTTCCTGCTTCCCATTCCCCCCAGTCCAACGCTGGGTCCTCTTCCTCAGCTCCACTTTCCTTGTGGGAGGGAGAGGGCAGAGAAGCCCCCCCACTTAAGACTGGGCAGAGGTGACGTCAGGGAAAATGGTGGAGTGAGGCCCTCCCAAAGTTCACCCCTCCATAAAGACAGCAGAAGAGCTGGGGAAACGGTCAGCTCCAACTTCCTCAGAGCTCCGGAAACAAACTGAAGGTGCACAGCAACACAGGGAACATTTAGTCAAGAAAAACAGCTGACATTTGGTAAGAATGGTGAGTTTTGTGGAATTCTAACTTACACTAGTGCCATCCCCCAGCTCAGCGGTAGCCTTGAAAATTGACAGTACCAGAGAGAGCGGAACAGAGCGGGAGCCTTTCAAAGCTCCTTCCCAAAGAACAGCCACTGTTCGACCTGCCGAGGTTTCCTGGAAGACCCACTCCAGAGGCCTGTCTCCATCTGGCCTCGCTCGAACCTGCCCGGGGCTGAAACCTCTCCTCGGGGGGGATGTGCCCAATGACCTGACATCACAGCTGACGGACGTGATGGATAACAGTCGAAGCAGACAACAGACTGACCAAAAGCTTAAAGGGAAAAGCTGAGGAATGAGATGTCCACAGGGGCTTTGAAAAGCTCCAGCACATTCCTGGGGATCTCAAAGGCTGGGCGTGTGCACTGGGCTGCGCACACACCTGGGCAAGGCCTGGGATGGCCCTGACTCTGACCTCTGGCTGCCCTTGGGGCTCTGTCCAGGTAGGAAGTGAAAGCTAAGGCACAGTTTCCGCTACCTGGCTGAGTGTTGAAGGTGTGCCCCAGACGCCCACAGGGCCTTGGCAAAGGCTGGGAGATGCTAGGCTCCCAGCGTTGAAGGAACTCTATCCAGTTGTTAGCTGACCACTAAGCTAACTGAGCAGAGACTTCAGTGGCCTCAAGCGACAAACAATAAAGATTTACAAAATTAGTCCAGAAAATCGCCCAACAAACAAACAGCAATGAACAAAATCTTATGGTGGAGGGAGATTCTGATTTCAGACTTAACACATTACTTCATTTGAAATGTTCGGTTTTCAAAAAATATGCTAAGACATGCGAAGTAACATGAAAGTATGACCTTCACACACTGCTGGCGGGAACGTAAAATCATGTAGCTGCTTTGGAAAACAGTCTGGCAGGTCCTCAAAAGGTTAAACACAGACCCTGTGACCCAGGAACTCGACTCTAGGTACACACCCAGGGGAAGTGAAAAGTCAAATCCACAGAAAAGCTGCAACACAGGTGTCCACAGCAGTGCTGTCCGTGACAGCCAAAGTGGAAACAACCCAGATGTCCATCAGTGGACAAACGGATAAACAAAATACAGTACAGGCAGACCTTGAGACCACCACAACAAAGGGAATATTGCAATAAAGCGAGTCACACCAATTTTTCAGTTTCCCAGTGCATATAAAAGTTATGTTTACGTACACTGTAGTCTATTAAGTATAAAATAGCATTATGTCTAAAAAAACAACGTGCATAACTTAAGTAAAAAGTACTTTATTACTAAAAGATGCTAACCATCATCTGAGCCTTCAGAGAGTCGTGATCCTTTTGCTGGTGGAGGGTCTGGCCTCGGTGCCGATGGCCGCTGACAGATCAGGGCGGGGGTTGCTGAAGGTTCGGGTGGCTGTGGCAATTTCCTGAAATAACCCAACAGTGAAGCTGGCCGCACTGACTGACTCTTCCTCTCACCAATGATTTCTCTGCGGCGTGCGATGCTGTTCGACAGCATTTTACCCGCAGGAGAACTTCTTTCAAAACTGGCGTCCATCCTCTCAAACCCTGCCGCTGCTTCACCAACTAAGATTACGTCAGATTCTAAATCCCTGGTTGTCGTTTCAACAATCGTCACAGCATCTGCACCAGGAGGAGATTCCATCTCAAGAAACCACTTTCTCTGTTCGTCCACACGAAGCAGCTCCTCACCCGTCCGTCTGTCAGGAGATTGCAGCAGTTCAGTCCTCCGCAGGCTCCTCTTCTGACTCTAGTTCTCCCGCTACTTCCACACCTGCAGCTACTTCCTCCACTGAAGCCTGGAACCCTCAAAGTCATCCATGAGGGCTGGAATCCACTTCCTCCAAAATCCTGTTAATGCTGCTATCTGGACCTCTTCCCATGAATCACAAATGTTCTTAATGGCGTCTAGAATGGTGAATGCTTTCCAGAAGGTTGTCAATTTACTTGGCCCAGATCCATCAGAGGAATCACGATCCATGGCAGCTAGAGCCTTACGAGATCTATTTCAAAATGACTCCTTGATCCATGGGCTGCAGAATGGATACTGTGTTAGCAGGCATGAAAACAACACTCATCTCGTTCACATCTCTATCAGAGCTCTTGGGCGACCAGGTCAGGGCGACCGTGAGCAGTAACATTTTGAAACGAATCTTTTTTTCTGAGCAGTAGGTCTCCACAGTGGGCTTAAAATATTCAGTAAACCATGTTGTACACAGATGTGCTGTCATCCAGGCTTTGTCATTTCAGGTATGGAGCACAGCAGAGTAGATTTAGCACAATTCTTAAGGGCCCTAGGCTTTCTGGAATGATAAATGATCAGGCTTCACCTTCAAGTCACCAGCTGCATTAGCCCCTAACAAGAGAGTCAGGCTGTCCTTTGAAGCTTTGAAGGGAGGCACTGACTTCTCCTCCCTAGCGACGAAAGTCCTAGATGGCGTCTTCTTCCAATACAAGGCTGTTCTGTCTACACTGAAAATCTGTTGTTTAGAGTGGCCACCTTCATGAATGATCTTAGCCAGACCTTCTGGAGAACTCGCTGCAGCTTCTGCATCAGCACTTGCTGCTTCACCTGCACTTTTACGTCATGGAGACGCTTCTTTCCTTAAATTTCATGAACCAACCTCTGCTGGCTTCAACCTTTTCTTCCACAGCTTCCTGACTTCTCTCAGCCTTTGTAGAATTAAAGAGAATTAGGGCCTTGCTCTGGATTAGGCTTCGGCTTAAGGGAATGTTGTGGCTGGTTTGATCTTCTACCCAGACCACTAACACTTTCTCCGTATCAGCAATAAGGCTGTTTTGCCTTCTTATCTCCTGTGTTCACTGGAGCAGCACTTTTAATTTCCTTCAAGGACTTTTCCTTTGCATTCTCAACTTGGCTAACTTTTTGGCCCAAGAGGCCCAGCTTTTGGCCTATCTCAGCTTTGGACATTCCTTCCTCACTAAGCTTAATCACTTGTAGCTTTTGATTTAAAGTGAGAGACGTGTGACTCATCTTTCATTTGAACCCTTAGAGGCCATTGCAGGGTTATTAATTGGCCTAATTTCAAAATGGTTGTGTCTCAGGGAATAGGGAGGCCCGAGGAGAGGGAGAGAGACGGGTGTTGGTGGAGCAGTGAGAACACATACATTTATCGACTGAGCTCGCCATCTTACTTGGGTGCTGTTTTTGGCACCCTAAAGCAATTACC